TGTTAAAAAAATTTTTTTACTAATATAAATAATAGAAATGGAAAATTGTAAAAAATTTTTAGATATGATCCAAAGGTATAAAAATATACTAAAAGAGTTATCAGAAATTGAATCATCTATGTATAATTTAGAAACTCATGTATCATCTTTATATCAATCTTATGATAATAAGTATAGTTACAATCGTTACAAAAACAATTTTAAGAAATTATTTGATTATTTTAAGAAAATTCATAATGAATTATCGAATCATATAATGAATAATTGGTTTGAAATTTAATATTCACTAGTTTGTTGTTAGACTTTTTTTAATAGAACAATTCTATTAAAAAATATTTTTAATTATTATTACATTTCGATTTTAATTATTAATATTATAAGTATTATGAAAAATATTTTGGGGGGTGAAAATGTATTTAATAAGTTTTGCGAAAAATGTTTTTATTATTATTGCATTTCGATTTTTATTTTTAATAATTAAGTTTTGTGGAAAATATTTTTATTATTATTACATTTCATAAGTTTTGTGAAAAATGTTTTTATTATTATTGCATTTCGATTTTTATTTTTAATAATTAAGTTTTGTGAAAAATGTTTTTATTATTATTGCATTTCAATTTTCTGATCTTTTTGCACATTGTTTTCTTTGTGATCTTTTACTGATATATTATTGCATTTCAATTTTCTGATCTTTTTGCACATTGTTTTCTTTGTGATCTTTTACTGATATATTATGAGGTGCACCAGGAACGGTATATATATACTACTCGTACCTCTTAATGACCCGGGAGGCGGGAATCAACTCAATGGTATCAGTACAGGTAAACAGGTACCCGGGAATTTCTGACCACAAACTAAATGCGGCCCTGCAGAGTAGGTATGGTACTAAATTTGAATAGTCTTAGGTGTTGTAGGTACCTACTAAACAAATGAAGACCTGGACAAACAAGACATCTTCAATGAATACAATTTTTCTGGGGCAAACTTAAATTTCGCCTAACGAATGGAAACAATTGTAAATTGCTCCCATTTCTCTGTATTATATTTCATTATTGGGCCCAATAGAAATATTATTTTTATGATAGTCATTTAGCGACCCAATACACGTTTTTACAGTACATTTCCATCACTTTGTTTCACCCGAAGACAACTCACGTTTTAATTTCAACCATTTATAAGTTTGGTAGATTATAACATAATTTTCTTTCTGGCTAAATCCAGAATGTATAATATCCATGTTTCACTGTTGCACGCAAAAGGCTTGTTAAAATATTACCTATAGTAGAGTACTAGTAGACTTTACCTATAGTAAAGTCGTCGCATAAAGGCATTGATATCGCTAATATCATAACGATTATAACGATAAACGTTCACCAATAAATGAACTTTTTAAAATACACACAAAAGGCAGTGTTGGGATAAGATTACCAAATAATCATCCGCATAAGATAACAGATAATTCATTCAACATTTATCTAGGTAAGATAAAATATAACATCATTTTTTTTTTTATCTAGATAAAGATAAAAATACACATATATTTATCTAGACAAAAAAATATATAATTTGTTTTTAAATTATTTTATAAATAATGTAATTTATTAGTAATTACTAATTAGGTAATATTTATCAATTAATAAATCCTTAATGTCATTTCTCAACTAAAATAATATACAATTTATATTTTTAATACAACTTGAATAAAATAAAATAACAAAATAAAACTGACAATATTTCAGTAGACATTTCTTTTTTTAACTATAATAATATTGGAATTTGGAATCACTACTCGGTTATCGTAAATTATTGGCTATTTCAGTATCCAAAAATATTCTTATTATTATATTATTTATCTAGATAAATTACCACAGATAACCATTACATTTATCGAGATGAGATAACTAGATGATTTAATTATTTTTATCTAGATAAGATAATTAAAGAAATAATTTTATCTAGATAATCCCCAACACTGATAATATGTAAAGATGAATTTAAAATCACTTAGATACAATATTACTATAGTATTTTTATTACCGGCTTAATGTGGGCGCAATTTAATATGAATAAATTCGAAATAAATATGTCTTTTATTTACACTTTATATTTTTTTTTATTAATCTTTATAAAATTCTAAGGTCAACACAGTAAATGTGGCATGGTGGGCGATAGCCTCCTTAGCCCCCCCTGGCTACGCAACTGCACACAGCTAGTTTTAATAGGCGAAACCTTTCAACAAACTCAAAATTATGAGGAAATTGAAAATAATCTGGACGCTGAATGAAAATTCTTAGAATTCGATGTCCATTCGCAATCAAGTTTATAAGCTCAACAAAATCATCATCCTCAGATATTTGAATATTTCGTCATTCATTTTTCAAATAATAAATGATTTTTCGCATAAGAAATTGTTATAACACAAATTATTAGTAGGTCATGAATTCATGACTGTCAAAATGTATGGATCTATAGCAAGTTTAAGAGGACATTACACCCGCATGTGTTATCTCCGTCTAACAAATGTACAACATAACAAAAACTGTTTTGCTCGGGAAAGAACCCAGAGCTACAGTGATAACTAAGAAACGAGATTTTCACCATATAAAAGGCAGATTTGGGCGTTATTCGAATGAAATTTTATCTAGATAATTATTTAGATAACATTTTATTCGAATAAATTATTATTCGAATGATTTTTTTACAATTATTCGAATTAAAATTTATTCGATTAATTTTCAACTATTGTTATTCGAATAAAAAATTAACTGATTCAATTTTAAACATAGATATTCGAATAAACAATAAACAAATATCTATCAATAGAAGAAAGTTAAGAACTAGAAAATTAGATATGTTTTTTAAAATTATATTTTAACAATAGTTTTATAATATTATAATATGAATAATATTTAATGGTAATATTTCATAACAATTATTACAACAATCCTAATAGATCGATAATAGCAATATCTAAAAAAATGATTTTATTATGAACTAGGTATGTTTAATCAAATTAAATAACTAAGAATTATTCGTATAACCGTCTTTAAAATTTATTCGAATAATCATAGATGAAAATTATTCGAATAGTTTTTTATTCGAATAATCATAGTTGAAAATTATTCTAATACATTTTTATTCGAATAATCATAGTTGAAAATTATTCGAATAGTTTTTTATTCGAATACAGATATATTCGAATAATTATATAGATACAATTTTTCCCAACTCTGATAAAAGGGAGAACTTTGACTGTGCAACGTTGTTTTTATTTTGTTGATATCATTTATATAAAAAAAGCTTTTCAAGTATGATAAACACAAACAATAATGGTTTTTGAATCTGTAAGAACTTGTACTTTCACTTTTTACTTCATCCCAAATCACTGCTTACACTGGGCTTCGATCAGTACTCCACCATTATTACAAGAACCATATTATATATTATTAATCAATACAAGATTATTTCACACATAAACATAAATTTATTTTTAAAAGTATAAATGTATTATTAATAAATTAATTAATAGGTATGTTATTCTACAATTAATAATAAATAATAATATATTTATTTCACAAATAAAAAAAACCAACAAGTACAGATGTCAACTATATTATATAAAATAAAATAAAATAAATAATACAAAGATTGGCAACTCTTCAACAAGCATAGCTTGAGCTGGGAAGTTTATTTGAATTCAGTTAATGGCATAAATGGCCGAATGTTTAAAATATTATAGATAGAAATTACATATTACATTTGTGATTAATCATAAATTAATAAGTGTAAGATCAACATTATTTAAGTAAGATTTCAAATCATTTACAATATTAAAATTATATACATTAATTCTAAGTAGTCTACATAACTCGATTGTCATCGAAATAGAACTTTTCATCCCAATATGTTTGCGGTAAATAGGTGCATGTAAATGAATATGTGTTTTGTAACGTGTGTTATAAGTACAATTAACATAAACAAAAACAATATCCAAATCAAAAAATTTAAAAATTGGAATTTTTGAATCATTTTGAGTTAGTTATAAACATTTGAAATTTGAAAGTATTTTAATTTGTTTTCTATAAATGTCAATAAAATTGTTTTCACTGTGTCGAAATGCATGAAAATGTAATACAAAGTTCTTCATGAGTAATTATAATAGCAGTTGCAAAATATTGAAAATCCATAGCAACAATTTATTTTTTATAAGTGGTACATATTTAAGATGTTGGTAACCATGTGTTTGATGTCTCCGTCTTCCAAATGTACGACATAGAAAATTGTTGGTCACTAGTTTCAATAGTATGTAGTTAGTTTTGATTTAAGACTTTTAGAGTTAATTGATATATCATCAAACTTTTAGATAAGAACATTATCTGTGCTGAAGCGTCGGAAATATTTTGATATTTTCATTTTCAAGCGAGATATGAGCATTTTGAATTTTTTATATTTTACCTAGCCATATCTTGCTTAAAAATGAAAATATCTGATAAAACCCGACGCTTGAGCACAAATAATATTCTTATCTAAAAGTTTGATAATAGGACAATTCACTCTAATATAAAATGTAACATAATATAATATATAAATACACGTACAATGATTACAAACATATTTACACGGAGTGTATACACCGGGCAGGCACATGGCCTACATGGCCACATGGCCGTTCATCGCTGCTCAGGGCCAGTTGTACCATCTCCGATTAAAGTTAACCGGAGTTTAATTGGCCGGTTAAATATTTGTTATCAGCTGATTACGTAGACGGTACAACTGGCCCTTAGTAAAGCTGGATTCACAGCTGCGTTGTGTGTCGTCTCGTGTCGATCAAATCATATTGTGATTGGATATTACTTTTTTGGTATCGTGTAATACCCAATTTGCAACCGAGTATACCAAGAATTGACTACTTTTAAACCATATTGGTAGTAACCATATAATAACCAAGCCCTCGAACGACATGACACACGACGTAGCTGTGAAGCACCTTAACACGAATTTTATATTCGTCGACCTAACCGCCGTTGTCTAGCACGTACGCGTTTATACTTTGGTAGGCGCTTTGCGGTGAAGTTAAGCCGGAACAACCGTGGAGATCGAAAGTAATCGCGAATGTAATACCGGCAGTCCACGTGTCCGTTAGCCAATGCAAGGCGCATGCACGACCATCGATTGATTGGACAGTTTCTATTGAGAGCGTATATGAGACAGTCGGTGTGCCCGTATCTCACGGCTTCCGTGCACGTGCGCGAGTCCCAGGGAACGCCGTGAGAACGCAGTTGCTCCAGGAATTTCAAACCGCCAAGACGCGCCGCTTCGGCGCACGTCAGTTCGTCGGCCGGACACCAGTTACGGACTGCGTATTGGAAACACTCCATGTTCCCAGACCTCATGGCTCCTATGCACGTGCGCAAGTCCCAGGGAACGCCATGATTGTGCAGGTACGCCAGGCACGCAGAGTGGCCGTAACTCGCTGCCTCGGCGCACGTTTCTTCGTTGGCCCGACACCCGTTACGGATCGTGTAACGGAGACAGTTCAGGTTCCCACCCCTCGCGGCTCCTAAGCACGTATACCAGTCAATGGGAATATCGTTAAGGTGCAGGTACATAAGGCAATCTGATCGGCCATTCCTCGCTGCCTCGTAGGCCGCAGCCGCTGTGCACGGACACCCGTTGCTCATAGCGTAATGCAGACAGCCCAAGTTCCCACATCTCGCGGCCTCTATGCACGTATCGGAGTCCCATGGAACACCGTTGTTGTGCAGGTATATGAGACAATTGAGTTGGCCGGACATCGCTGCACTGCTGCACGCAGTTACGGAGCTTGGGCAGCCGTTCTCTAACGCGTACTGGAGTATCTGAAAATGTCCACCGGACGCGGCCGTCGCGAGAGTTTCAGGACCCCAGTTTTCGCGCAAGTACTGCAATAATAAGGAGCCCCCATTCACTAAGGCTTCGCACCACGTGTACTCGAAGTCCCATTGGCAACCATTGTCCTGTGCGTATTTTAGACATTCGACGTTCTCATATCTAACCGCGGTGGCGCAAGTTTCAGCGTCCCAGGGACAACCGTTTTTATGGGCGTATATCATACAGTCCAGATGTCCCCCCTGGATTGCGTGACAGGGTACTCGTGTGTTCCACGGGCAGCCCATCTCGTGGGCCATCCTCAAGCAATTCATGTGCCCAAGAAACGCGGCCGTGTTGCATAAATCTGTGTATCTTTCGGACAGATGGTCCGAGCATATCTTCGCACACATAGACCGTCTATCACCTTGTGGATTGAACTCGCCGCTGACAGTGTTAAAAGTGATTATTTCCAATAGCGCTTTGCAACACTGTTGTAAATCCAAGCGCGGTACCTCATATTCATAATACTGGTTCCGCTGAATTTCATTGCACTCACTGTAAGAAATCATTGCCAGACTGAACACGGCGGAAGTACTGTTGTCGTCGGCCATGGTAACGGCCATGAATTCCAAAAAAAAAATCACGGCCAGAGGACGCCCTGTAAATGAATAAAACACAAAACATATAGAACAACAATTATAGAACATCCACCTTGCTGGTATGAAAATTCAAATTTTAAGTTTATAGTCAATTATTAGTATTTTAAAAAAATTGTAAGGAGGTTATTAACATTTAAAAAAAAGAAACATGGGCTTAATTAGCACCATATGCGAAAATAAATTTGGGGGATTGTTGACCCCTGAAATTTGTATTCGCTACAAGAAAACGAGAAAATTTCTTAAATAGTAAACTAATAATGCAAACAATTTAATATACAAATATAATAGTGTCTTCAAATATCCTGAATAATTTCAAATATCATATTTTAAATAATACTGTATTATTAATGCAAAAGTGGAATACATGGAGCATGCAATGATTATAAAATTTAATATATCATATATTATTAGTGTCTGGTGCTTTTTAGGGCATTTTGCTAAAAGCTAAAATCTATAGTATATAAAAGTAAATGCATTTAACAAAATATCAAAAATAGTTTAGGACTACTCAAAATAATTAAGCACCCAGCCACGTTAAACGTCAGCCGTCACTGTAGGTAGGTTATATTTATGTAAAAATGTATAACACTGTATTATACAAATTGCAATTTTACCATTAATGATTAGGTAGGTACAACAATTAAAACTAAAGGCGGACATCATTGTAAACGAATAATGATTCTGAGCGAAAACGGTCTGTGGTCTGTCAGTCTATATACAATATTAGGTACTAACTACTAAGTATATTTTATGATATTATTGTGAATTGTAATTAGAATAATTTATTTTACTATTAGAGGCATTAAGTACTATACAATAGGCTAAATTCCATTTTTGTTGAAAAAATTGTATTTGAAAATGTCATTGTATGTTTAGAATATAAGGTAGGCCGTATTAAATTACAAAACAATCACTAAAATTGTTATACTAAAATTGTACTTCGTTTAAATATTAAATTTGAAATTTCTATAAAAAAAACTGTGTTTATAATATATTTTTTTAATTGTTTGGTTATAGTATGAGAATCCTTGCTTTTAATTTTCAATCCTTAGCTATAAAAAAAGTGAGTGTTGTCATGGGACACCCGGTAGAAACGAAGTTTCTTTTCCGACAAATATTATAGATTACAAATACATTTTAGTGGAACCATTCAAAATAAAAGCAAATATGAAAAATAAATGAAAATGAAAATTATTATTATTACTATTTAATTACTGTTATATTAACCATATTAAATAATCGAAATTTCAGGCCTGCGATAACTGAAATATGATACGTATATATGTGATGTATTTTTTTCCAAATATCTTGAAAATACTTCATCTATAGTGGTGTCATCTCTCGTTGTAGTCTTGTAGATTCTGCTGGATTGTTTATAATAATATGTAAATTGAATGTGTCTATAAGGAAAGTTTTAAAAGTTTCCGATTTCTTATCATTAAATTTGATGTTAAAGTCAACAAACTGTTATAATTTATAAATTATAATAATTATAATTGCATAATATGCAGATATTATTAAGCTGTTTCAAATCCTATCGCGTTATACCCGTTTTCTATTACCTAGTCTATACCAAACGCGACACACAAAGAAATGTAATCACGGCAAAGGTAAAGCACGATATAGGGATATATGCAGCAATCAGATTATTCTACGAAAACAATTTCATGAAATAAAAATGTTTACGCGTCATGCAAGGATATTATAATATGTAATAAGATGTAACCAAAAGTTTATGCTTTGTATAAGGACCGTGGTTTAGAATTCAGTGTCTGTATACACGTGATATACGAGCCCAGTACTTTTGAGGATTTCCAATTTTTCCCTAGGTACTATGGGGATTGCCATTCCCACTTAGAGCCCGCTAGACGGAAAAAGGTCGCTATCCAAGGCTTCAACCGCCACGCCGTCGAAAACAAAACTTTCGGTGCAGAAGTGAAAAAAAAATATTACCTACGTAAAATTCAATACTTATTGAATATATATTATATATATACTTATTAGTTATTACTTATATAATATTTTATTAATTACAATAATTATAAATACATAATATACGTAGTGTAGTGATATATTATCAATGATTTTATTATCCAACAATATACGCAAGATATTTATAAATTATTAATTATTAATCAATCGCGGACTGATACTACAACTTACCGCTAACTTCTTTTTTTTGTTCCATCCTACCAATTTATCTAAAACCTCGATAATATTTCTGAAATCTGATCTAAATTCGTTAGAATTTATCTTAAAGATCTGTTAACATTTTAAGATTTTTGCTTCAAATTCCGAATAAATCCAGAATAATCATGTTTGAAAACTCCCAAATTTTAAAATATTCAAGCTAAATTTTTAGTAGTTGTAGGGTGAAATTGGGAAAAATGGATCTCAAGTAGACATAAGAACGAATTCAAATCTGTTTTAGATTCTGAGTGGAAAGAGGAATTTTTACGCAAAATCGGTTTTCGACAAAATCAATTTTGGCTTTGGTGTAACTCTAAAACAAATTATCGTAAATACATGAAATTTTCATTGATTAAACAATTGCAACATTTGCATTTTCTACACACTATAACATTTTCAAAATATTTTGATTTATTTTGAACTGTTTAGGGACATTTTCATTTTCCATTTTTTTTTTGGTTTTTTTTTCTAAAAATATGAATAAAATTTTATTTTTTGGTTAAAAAAGCTTGAAAATTTAACAGAAGGCTCTTAGTATATATTTTCAAAGGCAGATAAAAATATTAAAAATCCATTGTCACAGTTTTCTTTTATAAGCATTTGAAGTTCAAACATATGGAAAAATCACGAAAATTAGCAAATTCTTATGAGTTCAGAATTCATAAAAATTTTTCTTTTTAAATCTAAGATTTTAAAATATAATACAAGATTCCTTGTAAGATAATCTACCTTTATCAAAAAAAAATGTCTTTAAGAAAGTCGAATTAAATTTTTATATGCTTTGGAAATTCAAATTTTTATAAAATTGGATATTCACTCGATTTCTCATGTAGCGATTTCCTTACATTGTTGTGATTCAAAAATGAATAACTGTAGATACATTAAAATTCCACTGAATGTGTATTTTATCAATTCTTATACTTGATAACATTTTCAAAATATTTTGACTTGTTTTGAGCTGTTTACGGACAATTTCATATTTCAATTTTTTTTATTTTTTTTTCTACGAATATCAATAAAGTTTTGTTTGTTGGGCCAAAAAGTGTAAAAATTGAATACAAGGCTCCTGATGTATTGTTATAATATCAGTTGAAAAATATTAAAAATACATAGGCACGATTGTTTTTATAAGCATTTAAAGATCGAATTTTGACAAAATTTATCAAATTTCAAATTTAATAATTATTTTGTAGTTAAAAATGTATAAAATGTTCAACTTTCATATCTAAGGATTGAAAATTTAAAACAAGATTCCATGTAAATAGTTAATTCTGTGAACAAAAAATCTAAAAATTACACAAGCACAGTTTATTTTTATAGTCATTTTAAGTTCGAATTTGGACGAAATTGCATATTAAAAAACCTAGTTATTTTGTTGTGATTGTATAATATTAGTCGTGGGTACTTGAAACTTCTAAAGTGTACAATTATCTATCTGTGATAGTATCATGGTTTTTTGTTGATGTATAACGCGTTATAAGTACATAATAGATATTGTGATATGATTAATTTGGAATTTATTATAGGTACCTATTATAGGTCAATATTTCTTAAAATTCCATAGATATGTATATAATATGTCTTATACCTAGACTGACATACCGTCTCCGCTCAGAATCGTTTTTCTTATATAATGACATTATATCATTGAATTCAAATTTAATACCATCCATTATATAGTGACTCACTTGTAGCCTACTGTACAGCAGAGCACCTTTAAAAAAAAGTATTATCGCATTATTAGATCGATCAGTATGATGGAATGAAAATTGGGTGTTTTGGCTAAAATAACTGTTTAATAAATTATAAAAAATAGTATTTCATCAGGAACGTTTTTTTCACAACTATAGCCCCGCATCGTGCCATAAAAAACTTCGTTTCAAAAATGAATGGACATTACCAGTGAATGAACAAATTATACTTTATATCGTATTATTAAGAAACCCAGTGCACGTACACTTTATATTTATAATACATAAAACAATCATAATATTCTTATGTTGCCACACGTGATTTTTCATGAACATACGAACGATTCTCATTTATATGAAATGATAAGTTTCCCCTCCAATTTGTAAATGATACTGTTATTATCATTATTTTTAATTTTTGATTATAGAAAAAAAATTTGTTTAAGGTCTTATAAGAACTCAAATAATGTTGAATTTAAACCAATTGTAATAATATTCATAGAAAATTGGACGGAAATTCAGTTTTAATTTGTTTTGGTAAGTTCTGATTAAACTTAATTTATGCGTTTTGATGGTGTTCATGTACTGATTTCAATAAAATGTGGTAAACCAATGAATGAACAACCGTTCATTTATTGGATTTCATACTATTTTGTCTTATCCAGTAAATGAACATTACAAAATAATATAATAATATTTCCTTCGTTTCGTTTAAATTACATTCATCATCTGAATATAATACAATAATTATTGCAAATTGCTAAGCTCATAAAGTGACCTAATACAGTTTTAAATAAAACAGAATTATGGATGGTTGCAATGATGCTGAGAAGATTTCTAAGAAATCATATTCTCGATTCCTATATACTCAAGCCGATTTGATTAGTGCTGTTTCTTCTATAAAAAATAAAGAAGAAATTTGTGATAGAGAAAATTGCATCTACAAAATTATTAAATAAACGCAATATATTTTTATCCCAAAAATTGCAAAGTACCAAAAATGTTTATAAGAACTTACCTATTACTTTTAGATTCTGAGTGAAACGATGAATGTATTGATTTTACAACGAT